ATTTTAACAGAACAAAATTTCTAGTTTTGCCTCCAGAGGTTTCCCAGACTTCTCCCATATCTTTTCAGCTTGTGAAAATAATCCTCTGCTAAAGTCTTCTCTCCATGAATAAACTTGATGAACAGCAGATTGTCATTGTGCTTGAAAACAGGAAGCAAGCACAAGAGCTTCTCCTTTAGGGAGACGAAGTCCTTCCTTCCTCTCTACTTACTCCAGCTGGTCTTCTATTTCTGTAAATGAAGCAGCCTTTCTGCTTTGAGTAGAGCTTTCTTTTAAACAGAGCTAGGGGGGAAAAAAATACATATTCACTGTAAAAAGTCAGAACTTTTTAGTAATTGTCATTTTCATAAAAGTTGACTTGACAAAAAATAGAAAGGAAATTGTCTGATAATGTCAAAAACATTCTGTTTCAGATTTTCCTTTTTTTTTTTTTTTTTTTTTTTCATGTTAAATGGCTTTTTGAAAAATTTATATTAGAAAACCAAAGTCTAAAACAAACATATTTTTTTCCTCAAAATTGAAAGCTGGGACATGCATGAGCTACGTACTGAAAAAATAAGACTTTATATGAAAAAATAGCAAAATGTGTACCCATCTCATTTACTAGAAGACTTCTTTTGCACTATGGAAATACTCTGCAGGATATTTACATCTGCTATGCAAAACACTCTGGTGTCATGTTAGGAGACCTGCTTAGACTCTCTTGAAAGAGTCCAAGGACTCTTTCAAGGGCTGAAGAACACATAGAGCCAATGCATTTTAAGTGCAATTCAGAAAATCATTTTAATTTCAAATGTTTTTTTCAACATTATGTCCCACTCCTCATGAGTTCTGGAAATCTATGTTAGTGGAACTCTATTCTGACACTGAATCACACATTCCTAGATAAGGAGTGATGCTCTCTCTAATTCAGATTTCCTTTTCGGACTCTGTATTCTTACATGCACATACAAAAAAAAAAAACATGCACAAAAGAACACACTCACAAAATGACACTACTCACACAGATTTAATCTAGATTTGTCTTTTCTCTTACCCTCAAAATTACCTTTCTGCTTTTTTCCACCCTCACATTAGGATTCCATCCTTCACAAAGTGCTTAAGCCTCTAGACTCAAAAACATCCATCTAAGCAAAGAATAAAAGAAACAACAACAACAACAAACCTATACTGATGCTAGATTGCTCATAAAGCTTGGAAAATTCAAGACTTTCAACACATTGTTATTCTTTGTTCACTGCATACAAATATACAGAGAATCTTTGAGATACAAGGACAGCAAAATTATATAGAAGCTGTGTGGGGAAAAAATAATATTGAGAATTCATCTAAACAAAACCAAACAAAAAGGAAAAATAAAGAAAATAAGACATGCCTTTTGAGAACTCTCAGAGTTATCTCCCACCCTGAGAAAGTATAGGCATACTGGGTATGACTGGATTGAATTTCACTTTGTTTTGTAGACAAGTGTTTGTATTATTCCTTAGACTGCTGTTCTGGTCATTCTCACATTTTCTCCAGCATCTTTCACTCTAGTTTGCTAGTGTGGTCAGTCTGACATTGCCTGTCTGCCAAAACCCTACCCAGCTACTCTTTCACTCTTCTTCAATGGGATAGGGGAAAAGTAAAATGGAAAATTTGGGGGTCAAAATGAAGAAATCATTTACCAATTACCATCATTAGCAAAACAGACTCTACTTGGGGAAGAGTAATTTAATTTATTAACAATTAAAATATAGTGGGATGGTGAGAAAAAAAAAAAAAAAAAAAAAAAAAAAAAACACCTTCCCCCACCACCTAGGATCAATTTCACAGTCACAGAATGGTCGAGGTTGGAAGGGACCTCTGGAGATCATCTAGTCGAACACCGCTGCCAAGCAGGATCACCTAGAGCACATTGAACAGGATGGCATGCAGGAGGGTTTTGAGTATCTCCAGAGAAGGAGACTCCACAACCTCTCTGGGCAACCTGCTCCAGTGCTCTGTCACCCTCACAGTAAAGAAATGCTCCCTTATATTCAGCCAGAACTTCCTGTGCTTTAGTTTGTGCCCATTGCTTCTCCTCCTGTCTCTGGGCACCTTTATGACACAGCATATTGTTGGCAGAGAAGAGAGCAAACTGCATGCTGACACTAAATTTTCTGTGGATATGCTTCTGTTATTCATTTCTCCCAGTTGCACTATTAGTTTACTAGGAAGCAGCAGCTGTTATAACACTATTTTTTCACCACTCTACAGAATTAGACAAATAAAGCAAAACATCAATATTTTGCAAACTGTAATGAGATCTCATTCTATTTCAGATCTACTTGAACTATTTGTAATGACCTCCACGTTTTCTATAGGGTTGCAGCTTATCAGTTCTCCTCAGCAACCATATTATATGGCATTTGAGCCTCTGGAAACACAGATATATATTATAATGAGGCAAAGACAGAAATTTCCCAAAGACTTCCCTGAGTTCTGGAATGCCTTCCTTGAAAGAAAACATCACTTTCTAAACAGGATTCAGCATTCTGTCTTTCAGCAAAACAGGAAGCTGGGAAAAAAAAAGTTAATGTTCACTCAGTTTTTATAACCTTACTAAAATTTCTGTGTCAGCCCTGAGACAGTGCCTAAAACCAGGTGAGAGCAATAATTTTAATTTCTAGTTACTACAGTGACACACAATATAAGATCCTACTGATAAGCCGTGCATTTTTAGGAAGCCAGCAATGATAGTGGCTCTCCTTCCCCTGTTAAACATGAGTAGGCATAAACTTTTTTTTTTTTTTTTTTTTTTTGCTTTTTTCAGGGTGTGTGTGTGGAGAGGGGTGGGGAGCTGTCAGGAGAAAGCAGATAGAACTTATGGAATTTTACATTCCTCAAATAGTCTTCATTTTGCATCCAGATCAACAGTTCTGCTGGACCTTTAGTGATAAGTTTGTTCCTAAATATTCACTGCTTCAGGATTATCTTTACAGCTCACCTTGGTGCACAGATAACTTCTCTTTAACCAAAAATAATCTAGATTGCTGATGGCAAAAATCAATTTCAAAGTTTGATGAATTGTGACAAAGCCTTTTAACAACTTTATTCTGCTGATTTGTTATGAAGACGTATTCCTCCCCTCTTTTCATGTTGTTCAGAAAAACTAAAATAGAGGGAACTGTTACTGATATATAGGTAAAATTATATATAAACTCTTATGTATTCTAATAAAACATATGGATCTAACAAGACATGGCTGCTCTGTATTTCTGCTTTTCCCAGTAACTCTTATTCATGGTATGGCCACGGTAGAGATAATGCACTTCAGTTCCATTAGTCATAAGTGACTGAGCATCTTCCAAGTTTATAGTCAAGAAGACTACCTGATTGAAAAAAAAAAAAAGGTGATATCACTATACATTATACATTTTTCTCATAAGGAAAGTGAGATATACCAAAAATATACATCACAAAATATGGTAAAGAGCAGTCAGCCATCAACAATTCTAGCTGTTGGACTGCCTGAAATTACACAAACATTTTTCAGATCTAGATTGTGTTAGCAAAATGTATCCTGACACCTTGAAAATTGCTTACAAATATTTAGAACAGTTTTTATGTATATCTTATATATTATTGTTATGATTTTGGCTGGGAAAGAGTTAATTTTATTTGTATAGGCTCACACAATGTTGCATTTTGGATTTCTGATGAAAATAATGGTGATAACACACTGATATTTTAGCTGTTGCAGATCAGCATTTGCACAGAGCCAAGGATTTTTCAGCTTCTCATGCTGCCCTGCCAGCAAGGAGGCTGAGGGTGCACAAGGAGCTAGGAAGGGACACAGTCAGGACAGCTGCCCCAGGCTGGCCAAATGGATGTCCCACACCATGTGATGTCATGATGAGCAATAAAAGCTGGGTTAAAAAATAAAAGGGGGAGCAGAGGTGGGGAGCAGCGGAATTTTGGTATGATGGCATTTGTGTTCCCAAGTAACCATTATTCATGATGAGCCCTGCTTCCTTGGACAGAACATGGCTGAACACCTGCCTGCTGATGGGAAGTAGTGAATGAATTCCTTGTTTTGCTTTGTTTGTGTGCAGCTTTTGCTTTACCTAGTAAGTTGTCTTTATCTCATCCCATGAGTTCTCACAATTTTACCTTTTTGATTCTCTTGCCATCCCACATGGGAAGAGTGAGTGAGCAACTGTGTAGCACTTAGCTGCCTTCCAGGTTAAAACACCATAATTATTTAACTATTATTTTTACCTATTGTTATATAGAGCTTTACAAAAGGGTTTTATTTTTTTTATTATTATTTTTTTTCCTAATCCATAAACAGTGTATTTGCTCACAGTGCCCTTGATCTCATATAGCTTATGTTCTCCTGATTGTAATCACAGGATCTGGGTAATACATTTTCATGCAAAATAAAAGTTTGCTGAAGAAAAGTAGTCATGGTTTAATGAAATTGATTTGCCAAGTAATAGGATAATTTTGATCACGGGAGAAAAAAATAAAACAGCATGTATTATTGAAAAAATTAACTATTAAAAAAAATCTTTAAAAATAGCATGAGAAAAAAAAATTGTTTCAGTCTGATGTCAGATATTTGGAGGTTGTCTTCTAATCAGAAAATGAGGCTAATTTATTAAGCCAAATTTAAAAATCATAGTAGTACTTTTCACACTGTTTCAGCTGAGGTCAAGTTATTACTGAAAAACAATCTTTAAAACTGTTTGGTTGCAGAAAGAAAATGAATACTGTGATGGGTTTCAAAGACATGTGCCCTTTCCTGTGCATTTAATGATGTTTAAATGAAGCATAGAGCTTAAGTGATAACAATTTTAGTTTTAGTCATAAGGAAGATGTGACTTTATTTGATTGTTTGCCTGGGGAATATAACACTGGATTTGTCCAGTGGATACTGTTTGTTTCTTTATTGAATCCAGTACAGAAACCACTGTGAATGATTTCTAAGAAATGTGTCTTAGAATTCTCTGATTCCTTGTTTGGTACTCATTTAGGTACATCTGTTATTCAAGTGACAGCCACAGATGCAGACGATGCCAACTATGGAAACAGTGCCAAAGTGGTGTACAGTATCCTCCAGGGACAGCCATATTTTTCAGTGGATCCAGAAACAGGTGAGCAATGTGTCTGTTCTGGTTTCTGCAATGACAAAGAGAGGATGCAAGGACTAAGACATTTTTCACTTATATTCAAATATTGCAACAGGCATATGGCATTGCATAACTTGGCATGAAGCAGATAAAGTTTTTTGCAAATTGAAATTGTAATCAATAAAAATATACCTTTTCTGTTAAAAGAATATTATTGCAGAACTGCTTTGCTTGGTATGAAAAAGACTTCTGTAAGACAGCTGTGCATTATAAGGGTTTAGAAAGTTTGTAGAATATTGGAAAGGATCTAAAGAGTCGTGTAGTAAAAGTTAATTGTGCACTAGTTTCTGGGAGTTTAGTCTGTTAAATAAATAAATAAGATAAAAATCGACAATTCCAGACAAGAAAGAAGGAAAAGAATAATAATCCCCCAAAGTAAATGAATTATCTGTAAATGTTTGTTACAGATCACTATACTCTGACCCCAACAATTATTAGAATTTAATAATAATAATGATAATAATAATAATGTATTAAAGCTTTAGAGCATGGATATAATCCCTTTTTACTGTTATACAGAAAATCATATAAGAGTCAGACATAAAGAAGAAAAACTTGTGTGAACATTGTGAATCCAAAATTATGGCCCAGTAAAACTCCAAATCAACAAACAAACAAACAAAATCCACCAAAACAACAAAAACAAGTTACCTAATCCTAGTGCACATAACACTTACAAGGCATTGCATTAGAGTGTTTCTGCATGTTATCAAAGCTATTTAGTTTGAGAATACAGAATTTAAGTGCAATTATGTCGAGAGTCCCTGAAGTTCCTAATCCAATGAGCATGCTCAGATGATAGTTAATTTACTTTTGAGGTACATTGGAATTTCTTTTGATATACATTGAGATTTCTTTTTGTAATACAGTAAGGGCATAATACCTACAGGATAGTAAGAGTCATATGGCTAGAGTTTTAAAAGAAACATAATGCTTTTGCCTTGAATTAAACTTTATTTATTTTTCTCCGCCTTTTTTTTTAACTTTACCAGGCACAAGCAGGGAAACAGGACAAGTATAGGTCACTAACCAAGGGCAGTGGGTGGCAAGGCAGGGGGTACTTGGGAGCTCATCTTTGATTCTGGAATTATCTTTAATTTTTATTCAATTTGCTTTTTCATGTTACATTACCAGGCCAAGTTATGGTAATCACAACCCAGTATTCCTAGATCAGAGATAAATACTATGTATGATACTAGACTAGAGAAGTTTTGTGTTTGTGTTTGTGTTTGTTTCTCTCTTTCTCTAAGAGTAGGAGTTTTGCAGATTATTTACTTATTTATTTTAACATAGTCATAAACATAGGACAATCTTCATATCAAGCCAAGCTTGTAAAAGTGTCCTTTGTATTTAAATTCTCTTGCTTCATCAGATAAAGTTCTCATCACTTCAACCTTGCAAAACCACTTCCCTTTTAAATACAGAAAATCCTCATTTATTTTTGAAAAGAAAACATGCACGTGTCTACTTTAATGGAAAGATCTTTTGTGCTTTGTATCCCTAAAACACATGTTCTTGGGAGTCCCTTTCCTATTGTGTGCTGAATGAGTCTGAGACAACTAAAATATATTTTATGAAATTCTTGAGATCAGACACACAGAAAAGACTTTCCAGCAGTAGCTTTACCATCTTGTCCAATTCTTTATTAGCTATAGCCCTCAATGACTATCATCACCCCCACTGGGTGTTAAAATCTGTGGATCTATTACAGTCTGAAATAATGAATCCAGGACATAACAGAGTTCAACTTCATAGTGTAGTATCAAAACCTCACCAGGGATGGAGATTTCACATTGCATTAAAATAATAGCTGAGATAGTAGTTGAAAAAAAAATTGTTAATTCAACAAACATTAATATTTTTGTCATTGGACCTAATTACCTTGATTTAGCACATTAAAAACAGTGAATAGTATCTCTGTTATATTTCTATTTTTCTTAAAATCACTTTAAATCAGTCAGAGATTGAAAAGTGTACTGCAGTATACTTTGTTTTGCTTCTTATGGATTATCATCTGCACAGGATCTTACATAAATCCATTTAAAAACGGAGAGACTAACACGTCATGTTTTTTCTCCTTACCCTGTACCTCCTTTTTCTTATTTCTCCAAGGCATAATCAAGACTGCTCTACCGGATATGAGCAGAGAAAACAGGGAACAGTATCAAGTGGTCATCCAGGCCAAAGACATGGGAGGCCAGATGGGAGGACTATCAGGGACCACCACTGTGAACATCACACTGACTGATGTCAATGACAACCCACCTCGATTCCCTCAGAGTATGGAGCATCTAAGAGTTCTGTTGCTCTCCAAAGAAACTCTCTACAATCAGCTGTTTCACCATTGCCATCTGGGATCTCTCTTTTTCCTCTCTCTCTTTTTCTTTTTTCTTCTTTTTTTCTCTCTCTCTCTTTGTTTATTTATTTATTTACTTTTGTACAAATACTGGCCCACTGTTGTGTCTGTTTATGCTGCAGCACTGGTAAGGCAAATAGGAATCTTTGCCTACATTTTTTTTTAATGTTGAAGTATTTCTTGCAAAGAAAAATTTTCTTCCCCTTTTTACTCTGTTCACAGGTACATTAAGTGTAATAATACCTTAGGCTACCTAGAGGGTTTTAAAGCCATCAGTGAAAATTAATCACAAAATCTAGGGTTCAGTTTTTGGAGACACTTGTAGTTCCACATATTTAGGCAAATATGTCGCCACAGGCAGAGTTGTTCAGGTGGCATGCTCTGGTATTTGTAATCTACATTCAGTTCTTGTTGATGACTGCTTTTGATAATCTATCTGTATTTGACAAAATTAAGATTTTTAAAAATATCTCTGTAGAATAAATTTGGCAAACAAAAGAAAGCAGCATGATATAGAAAGCTTCATAATATACTACATATCCTTTCATCCTGGGCCACTGGTTTAAATACAATCCCATGTTGTTATAATCAGTGTCTGATAACTGCTTGACAGGCTGCAGATATAAGAAATTTACAGCCTCAGTTCAGAGACTGTTGGAAAAATGTCCATATATATAAAATTTGAATTGCTTGTTGGCACTGAAGAGAGATCTGACTGGCTCTCTTTACCGTTTCACCAAAGACTGAACAAACAAAGCTGATTTAAAAAAACACTTTCCTTGACTTGCAGGAACTTGAAAAGCACTTCAGTGCCATAGCAATAAGTACAGTTAAAGTAGTATAAACAGGTCAACATCAACCTAGAACAGATTTTTTTAAATGTTAGAAAACTATGACAGGTGGGTTAGAGAGGATTCTTGAAGCTACATATCACTTTTTTACCTCTATTTGTCATAACATATTCATCTTTTAAGAAGAGAGGGGAAGGAAAGTATGGGCTTCATAAGGAATTTGAATTCATATTCAGAGTTTACTTGCAGAAAATCACCTTCACATGGGAAATTCACACCACGATTTTTAACTTAAATTTCTGCTTACTTCAGGAGAGGATACTCCTGTATCCTCTAGCATCATACAGCCCACAATATTTTGGCAAATAGGAATTCTTGAACCTAAACTAGAATGCAGTGTAGCATATTGTAAGTTTTGTTGCTGAATTAAATAAAATAAAATTAAATTAAAAAATAAAATTATGTACAGAGCTACAAAATAAGTTCTCAGTCTCTTTAGCTTTTATTCCTTATGAGATTCTTCTTCCAAGATTGGTTGAAACTTGAAGTCTATGGGAATTCTGATAATTTGGTTCTGGAACATAATTATAGAGAAATTCACACAATTTGATGCTACATAGAATATTCAGTGTATTTTCTACATAGAATATCACTGAAAGACACAGGTTGGCAATAGATGTCTTGCTGTATTATCTATTCAGTGGTGTAATTTTCATTTTGCTGATTAACCTTCCCACTCATTTTCTTTCTTCTCAGAAGGGTGGTTTCAGCATTTCCAGTGAAATCTAATATATATATATATATATTTAATATACATCTAGAGGTTTTGATATCATCTCAGATAGTTATGAACAGGGTCATACCTTCAAATGATTATGTAGTTCTGAAATTTGCTTCTTTCAAAACCAATTATTTTCCTTTTTTTTTTTTTTTTTTTTTTTTTTTTTTTTTTCTTACATAAGGCACCAATAAGCAAAAATGTGGCCCAAAGCAGAGGATGAATGGCAAGTGGAGGCAACAGGAGATAATGAGAAGGCACTGAAGAACTAAAGACTGATTTCTTATAGTAGATAGAATAATGAAAAATGGCAGAGTGCACTGTGAAATACAGGTTGTTTGGACTGCAGTAAGAAGGAACTGATCTGTTTTGTTTAGTTTCCCGAGAGGTGCACAGATCCTGTATGTTTCAAAATCAAACGTCACCATAATAAAAATCTTACATATTTGGAATTCAGTTATACTCTATACTAAACTAGCCATCTCACATGCCAAAAATGTGTAGCACTCACACAGCATCACAAAAATAAGGAATGCTTTCAGAAGCAAAAACACTCAAGGGAGTTATTTATTCTGGAAGAATACATAAGTAACATGATTAAATCTGTTCTTACAGTATTCCTGGCTCACCAGCCAAACCTCAAATTCGAGTTAGCCTTCAAACTTATGGTTAGCTGCCAAGAATGTTAATTTTCATCCCTTTTTCTGTTTGTTTTAAAGGAATAACATGCATTTTATTTTGTATGGATCGCAGCCAAAGCGTCTACTGCTGAGCTTTCACTTACAGCATCAAATTTGTAACAACAAATATAATTTAGCATCAAGCATTAGCTTCCATTTTGTTACACATCTATATAAATATAGTATATTTCCAGTGACACTCTTTTGTACCTAGTCTGTACATTTGGAGACGGAGAGTCATTCAACACTCAGATGTCTTCTGTAGTCTTTGTGCTTAAAATAAATATTCAGGACCATTTTAAAGCACATGTTAATATAGGAAATAGGCTAACTGCAGGAAATATGCTTGCCTGTACTGTCTTATAGGTCAATACAACTTATGCAGGTTCTTACTGCGAACTTCAAATACAAATTGTGTGTTTTGACCACAGCTAATTTTGTTATATCAAGACTTTTATGCTATTTTTCTAAAGCTACTACTTTTTGTTTATATGAGAACATAGCTCAATTCCTCCCTCCCCCTCTCCTCCCCGCCCAACATTATGTTCTGGAATGTTGCATGTAAAATGCTGAAAATATCAGATTTTTGTTGTTCACATACTTGCCAACAAATTACTGAAAATAGTGATCTAGAAACATCTGCATCTTACCAGTGGTGAAAGGTCTTCATTGTCTATTTGTCTAACTGGTCAAGCAAATCATCTGATTAATATTTTTTTCTTTATAATTAGATTTTATTGCAAATATTGTCAGAAAATACATATAAATTCACTTTTCATACACACAGACAAAATTAAAATATCTAAGTAATCAGAATTCTTTCTAGCAAAACCTGATTATAAAAACATTAAATGAAGTCAACCATAGAAAGTGTACAAAAACTATCTGCAGAGTAAATTAAAGAAAATCTGAAAGTATCTACACTTCAATTAACTATAACAATTAACATGAACATGTATCCAAATGCTCTTTTCCATGACTCTTTAGTATGTATTATCAATAATGGCTGAATTAATTACTTTTAGATTGTACACCCAAAATGAATATATTAAAAACAAACAACAACAAAAAAATATTCTATTTTAGTCTCCTGCCACAATCCATGATGTTTTTTACAACTCTTATAACCCGAGGGGGGAAAGAAAAAAAAAAAAAAAAAACATAAAAAAAAACTTCTATTGCTTGTAATTATAACATCTGGGAACATTTATGGAGGATCGAGAGAAAAAAAAAAAATTATATATAATGTTAGATAATCAATGTTCAAATTGCTGTCATATTACTGAGCTTCTCTGTTCTTTATAGTTGGGAAAAAAATTGTTGAAAGCATTAACATACAGTACTAAATAGCTTTGAAAAATCACTTGAATCTGACAGTTTATCAATCAACTCCAAACCCTGTTTTGAAGTTGAGTATGATGACTAATAGAATTTTTCTTCAAGTACTTCAAACTTCAAGTTGCTTAAAAAAATCCTGGTGAAATTTAAATATTTATTATTCAGTAGAACAAAGTTTCTCAAAATAATAAAAGTTGATTTCATTCTTCCAGGCACCTACCAGTTCAACTCTCCTGAGTCTGCACCACCTGGGACTCCTCTTGGCAGAATTAAAGCCAATGACCCTGATCTGGGTGAAAATGCAGAGACTGAGTATAGCATCTCCAATGGGGAGGGATCAGACATGTTTGATATCATCACTGACAAGGACACTCAGGAAGGGATTATAACTGTCAAAAAGGTTTATTTTTTCTCCCTCTCTGTTATATACATTTAGCTCTCCAGGTGTTATGGTTATTTTTCTTTTTCCAGGGGAAGGGAGGGTTGATCCCACAAGGGGTCAAGTCTGCCAGAGTTGTTGCATTAGTTTTGTTCTTCTCTTTCTTCAGCAGATATCTGTTATTTTCAAGTCTCAAGGGAAATTTACTGGCATGTCACTTCACATAAAGCAATATTTCAGTGGTGGCTGTCTGTTCAATACATATACTCTCACACACAGTGCTTTTGAATTAGGGCTGTGAGAAGCTGGAGGGGTTCATTTCACTGTGGGGTTTGTCAGCTGAGTGTTGCAGTAATGCTCACAAGGGTTGGGTGCTCACCTGAAATTTGATGAACTTACACCTCCAAACTGTCACTCCGTAATCTGTCTGACAGTCAGGTACATCCAGTACCTTAAATCTGTCTTGGTTTAAGTCCAACCTTGCTGAAACTTAAGTTGTTACATGTTATGACAATGAGGTCTAAAGAGCAATGAAATGAGGAAAAATACACTGACAGATTTATTAGTTACTTTTATGGTTCAGACAGTTAAACTATGAACACCATTTTCAGTTCTGTTCTTACTGAATTTAGCAGCAACAATAAATTGATATATGCAAATATAATACAGATCTATATACATGTGTATTTCTGTGTGTACGTGTGTATGTGTGCGTATATCAATGTATATATATCTATACATATACACATTCATATATGGTTCTGTATAACATAAAGGTCACATAGATTGGAAATTGGACATCACAGTTTTTCTTTTCATTCTGGAATACCAAAAAGCATCTGGGTTACTTCTAATTCAGAATACGCAAAGATAGATGGTAATGGGGGATGGGAGGAGAGATGAAAGTGGAAATAGAACAGAGAGCCTTTAAGTGTTAAGTAAGATAACTGTTTTTGTTCCTGCTGTAAGTATGAGAAAAATAAGGTCATTAGCAACTCCTACTCATGGAAACAATCCATCCTCTTTGTTTCTTTATATATATATTTTTTTATTATTATTTTTTTTCTATATATAGATTCCTCCTGGTTTTCTAGGAAGCTGAAGAATTGGTAGGCAAAGGAATCATAGTTGTCTTGCTGTCCTATAAAACTCACAGTTTTGCTTATACATAGTACAAAACATGATATACTCCATCTTCTTCAAGATGCATTACATTTTAGAGCTTTATCTTGGAAAAATTCTTACTCTTTTAATTTAGCATAATAAGTCTGACACCTTTCCTGTAAATTGACACAATTTTCTTTATTATTATTATTATTTGCTCCCCAGCAGCTGGATTTTGAAAACAAAATGTTATATACCTTAAGAGTGGAAGCAACCAACACTCATCTGGATCCTCATTTTCTTCAGCTGGGGCCATTCAAAGATACAGCTCTAGTCAAAATTTCTGTGGAAGACATAGATGAACCACCAGTATTCAGCAGACCCTCGTATTTAATAGAAGTGGATGAAGATGCAAAGGAAGGAAGCATTATTGGGCAGGTTGTAGCCCAAGATCCAGATATAACAAAGAATACAATAAAGTAAGCTATTAAACATTATAAAATGCTTTAAATGTGGGTTCAATCTTACACAAAGTGTGATGAGACTGCAATATAATAGGGAGGCATTTGTGTAATTAGGCTTATAGGGGCCACTGAAAAATATCAGAGAAATATCTATGGAAGCTTGTGATGTCAAACAGTTAACAGTACAAGGTATGCTTCTACAGCTTATAGGTGCCATGTTAAAAGAAATGTCAGTCATCATGTTCCAGTACTTTGTCAGAGTCCAAAATTTTCTTACCAGGCTCTTTTAATTATTCCACACCAATAATGGAGAGTGTAATATTTAATATCAGATTTACTTATTTGAAGATATTTGATGCTATACAGGATTTCTGATTTATTGGACTGCCATAAAACATACTGAAAACACAAGTCTTGGTAATGTGTTCACTGTCACATTGCTGAGCTTCCCTGTTACTGGAAAGAAATATGTTGACTGAAGCCACCTTGAAACCAGTGCTCGTTTCAAAATTATTTTCCTAGTTCCTTCCCAGTGTTGGGCTGAGACGTATATTCCTACCACCACCCATCACCACCCTTGATGGTCTGGCTAACCTGGGGAGAAATTTGCACTCTTAATGAACTCAGTGTGAGACATTTATTACTCCAGCTGATCCACTCAGTTCTTGATAGAGTCAGTTGATCCACTCAGATGACACAGCTGACATCTAAAACAGATGCAACTCCACTTTGTGTTGAGATAAAGTCAGCTTTTTTACAATGACTGTGTTCAGCCACTCTCCTCTCTGTATCAATTCCTGAGCTTCATAGGCACATTGTCTTTACACACCTCCACTGACTCTGCTTCATTGGTAGAACTTTATTTGTCTCTCACATACTTTCACCAAAATGGATTCACAGTATTATGCTTTTATATTAAGTTTCCAATGGCAAACTTATTTAAGATACTCAAAATGGTGTATTTCTACTCTTCCTGTACCCTATTAGCCCTGTAGACATAACACTCTCTGCTGTGTTTCATAGCTTACTACTTAATGTACATATTATATTAAATAAGAAATATTGCTGAGAAACTCATAACAAATAGAGGTAACTGTTCAGTGCTGTGAAATTGTTGTAACTGTTAACCATCTGCTATTATTATCTGCAGTTACAAGCATAAGACTGAAATTTGTGTGTTCAACATGCAAGTGTTAGGTAAACATGATATCTGCATTTCTGAACAAGCTTGGTATTACATGCAGCAATAGAGTTTGGAATAAGAGGTGTGAGAGAAGAAAAAATAAAAGGAAATATTTATAAATTATTTAAGTATAAAATCTTATTTTAACCTGATTGTGGTTGACCAATATTAGTCTAATTTAAAAACATCTATAGACAGCTTTTTCATTGATAGGAAAGAATTGAGCAAAAGAAAGGGTTACAAAATATGATTTTAAAGAAATTCAATCTTAACAAGAAAATCCAAAGATTTTTCTGATCATTCTGATCGTCCCTGTGCCATATTAAAAGTATCTCATCATAAAGTGATAATTATATCTGAAATGTGTGTCCTTTGATAGCTGAGTTCTCCAAGAGTTAATTTGCAAAATTCATATCTATGAATGTTCATTTTCAATTGTTATTTCAACATTCACATCCTAAGCTCAAACATAATTTTGAATACCAACCTAACAATTTGCCAATGTAGTAATTAGTTTGCCCTTCTTCTTGCCCACTAGACTTAAAAAACAGTTTCTCTGTAACATACTGCACTCCTCAGTGACAGGAAAGCTTAAGTTTACTTGTTAAGAAAATATTGTTGATTAACCACAGTTAGACTTAGAAAATGTTTATAGTTGGCTGTAAGCTAAACTGGAGACTGTAGCAATAGATAGAGATGCTTAGTTGTATTGTGTCTTGACAGATATTCTGTGGATCGACATACTGACCTCGATAGAATATTCAACATCTATTCAGGAAATGGATCCTTATTCATCTCAAAGCCACTTGACCGTGAAGAAACTCCCTGGCACAACATCACTGTCATAGCAACCGAAATCAGTAAGTTGGAGATCATTTATCTATATAGAACATTAGAACTGATATAAGACTGGAATTTTACAGTATCTTTGATTTAGATTTGTCCTTTGTCAAATATTTTCAACAGACAGGTTATCCTTAAATGCACTTTTAAAAGTACAGCTTACTACTTTAGAATTATCTTTGCTCATTTGTGAAAAGATAATTTGGAATTCTCGGACTCAATCATGAACAGTAGATATTAGAAGAATTACCTTGTTCCCTGATAATTCCCAACAAATAATTTGGTGCAGGAGCAATGTGCCAAAGATTTCACCTCAGTCATTAGAGCAAGAAAAATCCTTGGGGGAAAAAAAAATGTCCATGGTGGACAAATAACACACTTTTAGAATAACCACTGTAATCAGGGGAAGAAAGTATGTTTTATCTCAACTTCTTTATCAGAGGAGATATTTTGATTTGAAGACGACTAGAATAAAATTCTTTCTACTCTGGGTCTGAAGCAAACCCTAGCCCAACGTTTTTCACTGGGATTCTTTACTGTTCTCTTGGACCCTGTCAGATCTGGATGTCTTGTCTGTCGCCTTCTTCCAGTTAACTAAAAACGGGCATCAGAGAAGAAACAACGAATTTAGGAGACAATTTCTCTCCTACTCTGTTCAGTCTCCCTACAGGAGTCTTCTTAGGAGCCTACATGCTTAACAGTCTGGGAGTAGGGTAATATATAGTAGGGTAATATAGTAGGGTAATATAGTAGGGTAATAAATCATATTCCATCAGATAGACTGTTACCTTTTGCTCATACAGGGCTCTTTAATTGTTTGGTCAAATATGGTCTCCATTTTCAATATATGTAATGCATGAGTCATCTACAGCTATAGACTGACCTCAGAGGTAAAGTTTGAAAATACTAACTGATAGATCAAAATTTTGTCTCCACATTTTAAGAAGGAATGACACCACCACTTTTATTTATTTATTTATTTATTTATTTATTTATTTATTTATTTATTTATTTATTTATTTATTTAAACCGCTTTAATGGTTCAACCAAGTAAATGCTCTTGACAGCTCTGCCTCAGGAAAAAGCTCTTTAAAGGAATCATTTACTCTACTATGTATGGAGTACAAGTCAAAAACCAGTAATAACCTTGTGGTCTGTTTTTAGTGCAAATCAATTTAAGGAGAGTTTGTACTATCTCAAATTAATGTACTATACTAAAACAAAGTGTTTCAAATATAGATATGACTTTTAAACATACAAAATATACATCATTAGAAAGTTAAATGTAATTGTTTTAATATTATTGAGATAAATTATTTCTAATGTCTATTTGAAAAATATATGATATTTTCAGGTCTTTTCATAAAATGTGTGTTGTGGAAAACTTTGCATTGTACTATAAATCATTTTCTTGTTTCAGATAATCCTAAACAAAGTAGCCAGATACCTGTCTTCATCCGGATTTTAGACATAAATGATCATGCACCAGAATTTGCCAAATACTATGAAACATTCGTCTGTGAAAATGCAAAAGCAGGACAGGTAAATACATATATATGTTAACTGAGAATTTTAATCAAACTGTCCTGGAATACCATCATGAAGACTTCAGAGTTTCTTTATTTCAATAATTGCAAAACAACTCACCATCTTTATTCCCTGATTCCACAGAAAATACTAATTGATTCAGAAAAGGTTTTAGAAGATAAAAGGTGCAGAATTTTAGCCAAAAATAATATGATAATAAATATAATCCAACATAAAATAAATTTATTTAGCGTGTGTTTTCATCTCTAATACTAGAGACCATTTAGAGAACTTTTCAGACCCCCTTATGCATAATGTGCCAAAAAACTTTATACTGTCTGATAATTTCATTTCCTTCTGGATTTTTTTTTCAAAGCCTTAGTTGATGTAGCCACACCTTCAAGTACAAAAACACAGGAAAATGTTTTATTATGTTCCAGTAAAGGACATGTAGAAGAAAAAGTTATTCACAAAAATAAAGGATAATTCATCTGTTTCCATTGTAAGTTTGGAATTGAATTGAATTTGAGTAAAAATCATGTATATCATTTTCTAAACTATCTCAGCAATCCTGTAATAATCTAAAACGATGATGAGACTTAAGAAAAAAATTAAATAATAACTGGGAAAGGTTATTATTTTTTATTATTAGGAGACTGACTAGCAGAATTAACAGAAACAGGAATCTTTTATTATTGCTGCCACTAAAACCAACATATACTTATGTTAATGCCTGTCATCTTTTCAGTTTATCTGTGAAGAAGGACATGTGTTTGGCTTATTTTTAATTCTGAAAGTACTTACCAAGGAACTGGATTTAAGAGCTGATTGTATACCACAAAATTGCTTTTCTAGCATGGGCCTAAGTTTAACTCTTCTTCATTTTTGAGAGGAGGAAAATATTTGATAACATTACTTTCCCTAGCACACACCTGAGTCTGTTCCTGATATATCAGAGAGGCCAGGACAGAACTCTAAGCTCGGCCTAGGTCTGTCCTTGTGTTTTTAGAGCACAGTGACCACTCAAAGGCTTTATAGGGCCCAGAGATATAGATATATATCACAAAACATGCTGATGCAGAGACTTTGGTCTCTGTTCAGTGTTGCATTTAACATAGCCACAATGGCTGCATGAAAGTAGCATAAATGGTACCTAGCATTGGTCTGGAATCTTGGGTCTTGCAGAACTCTAGGAGAGGCAAGCATATGCAGTTTACCTGTTGCAATGCAAATGATGTTTTACTACAGGTTTAACATATGGGGAAGAAAAAAAAATAGAAAAAAAAAAGAGAGAGAGAGAGGGGACAGTGTGAATTACCAGTGTGAATTACTGGAATGTGCATTCAATGTACTAGTTTTCCATTCATTGCACCTAATACTGTAAGTTAGGTAAGTGGGTTATAAAGACAGAGGATAGTTTGAGTGTAATAGAATCGTTAATCAATAGATTTTGAAGTAACTGACCATTATTTAATTCTTTTTCAGGAAAGTCCTACTATTTTTGATGCAAATTATGTATATGGAAAAATATCCATATCAAAGGCAGTGATGAATTAAAACAGTGGAGGGAATTATCAGAAAAATGAACACGGTGCATCTTTCAAAAACAACTGAGGCTTATGATCAGAACACGGTGTCTTAACCAATGACATAAATTGTCATATAAGAATACATCTCAAGCCTCACATAAGTCAAGCCATTGGTTTTGAATAGCTGGCACATGACCTAAATTCTGTGTGCAACAAAATCTCTTTGCACAAGATGAAATTGAAACTTACAATCTCTGTATAATGGCTAATAGAAAAGTGAGAGTTGTTCTTTAATTGCACAATACAAAGAAATCTTACAGAGTTTAAAAATTAATATTTCAATGAAATTAATAATTAATATTTTCATTCAATAAACACAGATTTAGTCATATTTGAACCAAGCTCAATCCAGGCATATCTCTTGTCAGTTTTCTTTCCCCAAAGAGTCCAGCATACTTGATGAAATACCCTTTTATGTATAAAGCTTCATTTACCTTTCTGGTGAATTCCATGCCTTTCTAAAGACATAAATGACAAAGCTTTAGGTAAACTTTGTTTATTTTATTGTTTAGCTTTCCCTTCCATCTAGAGTATTAATACAATTACATAAGTTATTTTCCTTAACTGGAAAAATCTGCATATGCTAGAAAGACATGAGGTGTAGCCACAGAGGAATGAGAAATCTAGAATGAGAGAGCCAGGAGTTGGACTCGATGATCCTTATGGGTCCCTTCCAACCTGGGATATTCTGTGATTCTATCTAGATCTTTCTTCTATTTCTTAACAATTAGATTCCTCAAGACAAGCATCTGAGTTCATATTTGGACATTTGGATGTAGCTGACAGTGTTTCAGGAAAAAAAAAAAAAGAAAAAAAAAAGAAAAAAAAAGAAAAAAAAAGAAAAAAAAAAGAAAAAAAAAGAAAAAAAAAAAAAGAAAAATTAAATGAAACTACTTTTATTTTGGTGCCTAAAATAACAATGAATACAGAGATGCAAACTTGAACGTTTTAGCTATGGATGTTAAGTTTGAGGTAGCCTAAATTACTCATGTTTAACAGCCCCCTCTATAATACAATAAAAATATTGAAGTTTGTTGTATTCATTTAGTACTACTCCACTGTATTTAAAAGATCATCTAAAGCAGCTGTCTTATTAGAAACATTATTGCTTCTTGACACATCACAGCAGTATTTCATCTGATGTCAGTAACAGCAGAGACAGATTGAGAAGACAAATATATTTAGTTCATTTTTAAAAGATTTTTTTTTTTTTAATCTAGCCCAACTATTAATTACAGTGGTCTTTAAATCCCATTTGCATCACAAAGCAAGGAGAACAATCAAATATTGCTCACTACCATCTATTGGTATTACTCATTCTCTACATCAGCAGATATTATAGGCTCCATTTGTTGTGTTTTCAGATAGCCTGAGGAGGGTCAGAGGAAAGAAAATCCTACAGAGTCTTTCCTCCTTTCCTGACACTGTTTTGTCTCCAAACAACAAATAGAGAAAAACTTTGTCACTAGAGATGCATAAACAATTGCATCCATTAGTCTGGAACAGATTTGCTACTGAGTCCCAATGGCTGATGCACAGGGTGAAGAAGAGTATGATGCAGCTTTTCCCTTGAAAAATTTAGAAATCCCTAATCCTCTGATGGTGTGCTAGAGCCCCAGGGACTGCTGTGAGAAAGGCTCTGGTACAAGTTCTCTCATGCCCTTGTCACAGGAATTAATTGGGTCTTTTTAGCTGGATTAGAGGATGAATCCTCTCCATGGAAACCAGGAAGATTTACTTGAAAAGGAGACTGATTCAGCTGAACATTTTAGTAACAACAATTCAACATCCACCAATAATATTTAAGAAAACAACCTGGATTGCTATTTTGCATTGATGTTATATTCTTTCCTACCATACAGGGGCTCTCAAGCATCAGAACACAGAGTTTGTTTTCTCTTTAGGAAAGGTGGCAGATTTTTCATTTCATTACCCTCTATGCCATCCTCCCTTTTTCAGACAGGGCAGACAGAAATAACATTTTTAATGTGGATGCTGCTGCTAATTAGTGGTCACTAGTTTGTACATTCTACCTGACTTCTCCAGGTAAGCACTTATTGGCTTGATCTAGTGAGACCCAACAGTCTGTCTTGCTTTAAAATAAGAATTCTAGTTCAAGGGAGAATTTTCTGATTTCTGACAAGAATTCAGTCCCGCTTTAAAACTGTCAACACGTTTGTGGCCCAGAGCCAAGGCCTGAAAACCAAAATCTTTTACATTACCAAACACAAAGCTTTGTCAAGTAGCAGGTATTTTAAAAAATTTCTGAAGACATAAAGGATCAGGATCAAAAGTCTATTCAAGCTTACCCACATGTTCCTGAGGTTTCTCTCTGTAGCCAACACCTAGGCATGCACAGGCCTGAACCCTGCCTGAACACATGAGATTGCTCAAACACAACAATGAAAAGATGGACATCCATTTACAACTGCACTGATTTTGAAACACTTCCTTTGGGGATACTTGAACAGTACAATTATTACTTCACTCCTAGAGAAAAGTAGCTGCTTCCAAATCTTCTACAAAATCTTTATCCCACCCACTCATCACTGTGTTGTGCTAGTTAGTTAGCTAGTTTGATTGGCCCTACTAGATTACACTGGCAGGAAAAGGGGCAAGAGAAGGAAGGGACAAGAGAAACACCGAGTTGTTCAACCCTCATTTCCCCGCAGTGTGAACTATTACTTTCTGATTACTATCAAAATCAGTGTCTTTTACCATATGCTTTTTTCACAGTTTATTGAAGATAATGTGGTCAGATCAAACATAGAGAAATATTTGTTGCACAAAAGAATTTTAATACATTTCAAGAAATGACAAAGACAGTGCTCCAAGATCCAGGATTTGTTCTGTTCTCTCCTAAACCACTTCACAAAAAAAAAAAAAAAAAAAAAAAAAAAAAAAAAAAAAAGCAAAATGTCTCAAACATTCCTGCTTCAAGTGTCTAGTGATATTTTCAAGTCATGTATTAGAAACAGCTGAAAGTAGAAAAATGGCATTTGAAATGGCACTTGAAGAATTTCTCTGTATTGTTCAATATGCAGTTTTAACTAAGAACATAATGTAATGAACAAATGCCCAAACATTCAAGGCCTGTTCATCTGCAGGTCTGTAATCCCATACAAAAAATAGAAAAAAAAAATTATCTGCAGCCACTACTGTGAAGTCTCTCTCTCACTGTCAGTCTCCAGTGGTCTTGCTTCTCTGACACTGGAGGTATGAATTCCATGCTATTTGAAAATTGGATTGTTTTAAACTTCAGAAAAGCACTTTTTAAAAAGGAGAGCATATTTAAAATCCTCTGAAAGGGATATTATTTTTCACTGTTTTATTTAAACTGAATTTTAGAAGAAGGAATTTTGAAAAAAAAAGTTTAAAAATTAAACAGCTATCACCAATATGTTGCTGTTTTGAAAAGAAGTAGCA